TGGGTATGTCGGTCGGGTAGTCAGTCCCCAGCCGAGTTAATAGTTTGTATCCAGAATCTGTCAGTGTCTTTGGGCAAAATTTGTTTTCACAACATTCACTAGATTGGCTGAAATCTAGGCTAGTGCAGCATGATGTCAGGTAGGTGCAACTGCTCTGGGTCTGGGTCGCACCTATTGCCTTGCCCATGCAAGAAGTGCAAGGCGAAGGCCAAGGCTTTGGCGCAGAATAAGGGCACGAGTCTGGGGCCAGTCTGTACCATGTGTAGAGTGGATGAAATTAATCCGATGGACCGGGACTGGGGCCTAGGTCAGGGATTGACCTTTTATAACAACGAATTGATACCGGAGACGTCATCGCAGGCTGGGAGTAACGCTAGTGATTGCCACTGCGATCAGCGAATAATCGGCGAAAGACAGCCAGATTATTGGGGAAATATGCAGATAGCTGAATATCAGAAGCCCAGCTTAAGCCTGGACTCCGATGAGGGACGGTCTGTGGCCTTTGGTACCATGGAATTCAGCCGCAAATCGAGCATGACCGAGGGCATACCCCGACCGGACGACCCCGTTGTACAGAAGCGAGCCGGCTGCAGCATTAACTACCCTCAATACACCCACCTGAAATCGAGCCCAATGCGTGGACGCGACACATTAGGCCTGCCCATTCGTCTGCAAGGCAACAAGGGCCTGCTGAATGCCAGCGGCCAAACCGTCTGCGTGGACAGCACCTACTGCAATGACAACTGCGGCATCAGCAACGATTGCTCGCCGGACTGCAAGTCCAAGAAGGGCATACAGATATGCAGCAACGAAACTATCAACTCGGCCGTTACCTTTCTGATTGAAATGCTGGGCATACTGGTGTAAGTGGTTCACTTGGCTCGGAGGGATCGGATCGGACTTGGTCTGATCAGATGCCATAAAGCTAATGGCTGAAGCTGTTATATACCTGTAGCTAGGATTGTTCGGCTTTGTTCATGTTCATGTCTGTCTGTTTGTCTGTCCGTCATTTGTCCGACTGACTGTCCGTGCGTCTGTCTCTCCGAGACCCTGTTTCGCCGAGCGCATTAGCTATTTGCCAGTCGCTTATTGTGGGCTAATCAATTTGGTCTTTTCTTGGCAGCTTCTTTGCTATTTGCACGTTCACCTTTTGGATAACACTTGGCTACTATGCCGTTCAGCTGCTGCTTGATCTGATTAATGCCGATCGCAACGTGCACGTGGCCGTGGGCATTGTGTTCGCCATGCTGGTGCTTGCATTTGCCATAACGCTGTTAACGCACGGATGCTGTAATGTCAGGACGAGCGGGGTCGGCGCAGCGACGAGCTGCGGCAGGGCGACTCTGAAGTCGCCGTCGTGGCTGCACCGGACGCCAAAGACAGTCGTCGCCAAATGCAAGGGGAGCAGCGTGCTGAAGTCGCAGCCGCAGTCGCAGTCGCGGCCACACCCACAGCCGCATTCACCGTCGAAGTCGCAGTCGCAGTCTAACCAAGCAGCGCCGAAGAGCTCATGCAGCCAAACGCTAAAGAAGAGATATTCCGATTGCCAGGGCCGCAAGATCTTCGACAGGTCCCGACGCAATGCCATTCTAACCGAAATGAAGCAGCCGCCCACTTGGCTCATCTGGCTGCGCGGCAATGTCAACAGTTTTTTTCGTCGCAGATAAAAGCGCAGCAGCTGCACGCTAGACCGACGACCCACTGACACAAAATTGAACGTTTGAATTTCAGAACCATACGAATTGAACCAATTCAAAAATCCATATTTATATCCACATAATATAGACTTGTTTTTCATCTAATATGGAGTCGTTTCAAAAGTCCTGAACTGGGCTTAGTCTAGGCGAGGATTGCAACTGTTGCCTACAGGAACAGAGCTAAGGCTAAGGAGTGTATGGGCTTTGAGCAAGGAAGAGCCTAGAGCCTTGGGCTTTCCAGCTCGAGTGGCTAAGTCGAGGCGCGTGTCTGAGTACGAGTATCTTGCAGTCAGGTATGCCCCATGAGTGATCTCTGATTGCCCCTGGACTACTCACTGTTCGTGCGCATCAGTCGCAACAGCTCGCTGATCATCCAGGTGGCCGTGGCGGGTCCAATCCAGGCCAAGCCCTGAGCGCCAGCCTCAATGAACACCGCATTGGCCCGGCCGGAGCGACGTTTGTGCTTCAGGCGCTTGTGGCTGGACGCAGCTGCGGCGCTCGCCGCGGCGGCCATTTGCTTCGACTTAATTTTGACGACAATCAACGGACGACCCTCAAAGGAGCGTCCGATGTGAATCAGCTCAACCAGCTGCGTGTGGCGCATGCGCAACGTTTCCAAATAGTGCAGTATGTCGTCGTGCTCGTAATACCTGTTCCAGGTCATGGGCGGTGGCGCGTTTGGCTGTTTGGTGGGTCGCCTGTTCGCCGCTGGAGTCGTATACAAATACTCCTCCTTGTTGCGCTCGTAGGCGATTGCCTTGCCCACGTCAAAGATGAGCACCTCGTGGCCAATGCCCTCAAAGTTGAGCGTGCCCTGGAAGTCCACCAGCATCTTCGGCGGCACCAGGACGTCGGTGAGGCCTCTGCAATCGACGATTATGGCATTGAAGATATGAAAGGAAGCCTTGAGGGCCCTGACCCTTACCTGAGACTGGGTCCCTTTAGCCACTGCAGCTTGTTGCCATCTTCGCCCTTCTTGAACTGCTCCAGTGCCCGCACCTGCGGCTCATCCTGCGGCTTTAGGCGCCATATCTGATACTTATCGTAGCTGATGCGACGCGGCAGCTCCGGCTGAGCTGTTGTCGTGCTGGTCACGCGTGTGACCAGCGCCTGCAGCAGCGGATTCTTTGTGGTGCTCGAGGCAACAGCACCACCAACGCCGCCAACACCGCCAATACCGCCGCCGGTCGCATTCACAATGTGATGCGCCAAGATGCCAATCCAATTCTGTGGATTGCGCAACGGATCCACAATTGTCAGGATGGGCACTTGCGGTGTGGGCAAAGTGGTTGTCGTTGTCGTTGTTGTGGTTGTGCTCGTTGTCGTTTTGCGACGGCGCGTCTTTGGCTTGGGCGTCGGATCAAACCAGCCGGCAAACCACTCTGCAAGATTAGAGAGGGAGAGATAGAGACAGAGACAGAGACAGAGACAGATAGAGATAGAGATAGATATGGATCTACGACACTAGACAGACCAAGCGGGTCAAAAGCATTAAAATGCTTTTCAGGCTGTGCAGAAAGCGTGAACCGACTCCACGAAGACTCGCTGAGCAGTTGAGCCAGAAGCTTCTGGACCGACGGCAGTCTGAGCTGCCGTTAGACCTGAGAGCGGGTCAGTGTGCCGGCTATCAGTTGAACTAACGAGGTGTGCTCAACTAGTTACATTCTAACTAATTACATATATACGCTTGACTAAACGATACCCAGTTTAAGCCAACCACTGAGCATTAATGATCCCTGACGTCTACGTCATAATCTCAATTTAAAGAAGAAAGTATCGAAAGTATCTATTGCCTTGCTACTCTTGCGAGTTGCAAGGTTTTCGCTGCGTCTACTTTAAGTGTATTTGCTCGAGAAAGCTCTCCAACAACTACAAAGAACTAGCGAATGAATATTCCACTTGATGCTAGACTAACCAAGAACTTGTTAAGCACACCTCGCCATAGAAGCTCAAGCAAAGTATTTAGACGTACTCAAATGGAAGATGAGTTCTAATAAGATTATATGTCAGCAGAGACCACTTATAGTCAAAGAAAGTTGACTTGCGAGGGTAGTTTGAAAAAGTTTATAGCTCAATGAGTTAAATTCTGCACACATTCATTTAAAGCTATTTATTAATTTATGTATTTTTAACTTGCTAACTTTTTTTACTTCAGAATTTTTCAAACCACCCTCGTATGTTTTGGTGACTTTCATGCGACAATGATTGCAGTACAAAAAAATTAATTGTTTCTAAAATTTCTATTTTCTTTTACATGAAATGCATATTAAAATCGTTAATTGTTCAAACAACCCTCGTATATATATATATAAAATATCTATTGATAACTTAACACTTTTAAATAAAAAAAAAACAGCATTTTTGTAACTTTTAATTATTATTTAACTAAATTATGCTAGAACCTGATATTTCTCAAACCACCCTCGTATATGTCTGCAATATCTGTCGATTAGACTATAGCCTTTTATGATTTAAAATTAAAAAAACGCGAATTTTTCTAATTTTCTTTCAATATTTAAATAAATTGACGCTAATTTCAGATATTTCTCAAACCACCCTCGTGGTTACAAAAATTCTCGATTCGACCAATATAACATAATTCAAAAGAAATGAATTTTGATCCATTTTTAATTTTATTTGCTCGCAACTTTTCAAACTACCCTCGCTGGTATATGCCTGGACTCGAGCCCAATCCAGTTGCTACTCACTGTCATAGTCCGTTTCCTCGCTAGACGCTTCCGTTGTGGCCTTGCCAAAGCCGAACCACGACTCCAGCCAGCCGGGTGGCTCAGTGGTTGTGGGTGGGGCTGGCGTGGGCAGCGGCAGTGGCGCCGCTGGCATTGCCGTGGTGCTGCCAATCTTTTTGGTGCGCCGCCGCAGGCCAAACCAGGAGCCAAACCAGCTGCCCAACGAGCCGCCATCATCGTCCTCCTCCTCGTCGTCGTCGTCATCATCAGCATTCGCATCCTCGTCGTCGCCCTTGCTGCTGTGCGCGCTGTGATAGAGCGTATAGCTGGGATACTTCGGCTTCGAGCTAACCTCCACATTCTCCTCGTCCGACTGGCCGCCGAAGCCATCGAAGATGCGCGCCATGGCCACCTGCACGGGATAGAAGATCATGCGAAAGAAGCTGCCGATGCCTGTATCTGAATATGAATCTGAATCGCTTGCGGCCTCCTCCTCCTCCTCCTGCTCCTCCTCCTCCTCCTCCTGCTCGTCGTCATCATCGTTGTCCTCGTCGTAGTACTCATCGGAATTGTGGCTCTCGCCAGGCGGACGTCGTCTGATGCGCTTTTTGCTCAGGCTGTGCTTAGTCGATGATTGCGTCTCTGCGCTCTCCGTCGACTGCTGCTTCTCCTCCTCTGAACTGCTGGCCGGTTCAGCTGTGGCTGGCTGAGCGGTGCTGCTGGTGGTGCTGCTTTTGTTGCTGCTATCAATCGCACTTGGCACTGGCTGCTCCTCGACCATTGCCCCAAAGTCGGCGCCCTCCTCCGCCGAGCTGCTGTTCTCCTGCGCTGGCCTCATCTTGGTGGTGGTGGTGGTGGTGGTGGTGGTGCTGCTGCTGTGACGCTTCACGTGCGTTGCCTTCTCATCCTCCTCAAAGTAGCTGTCATCGTTGTCCTCATAATCATCGCCAGCAATCAGCTCCAGCAGATCGAAGTCGTCCTCGCCGCTGCGCTTCCTGCCGCTGCCATGCTCTGCGCTGCCGTTGCGCTTGGCATGCAGCAGATGCACCGCATGTGGCACACGATAGCCACTGTCGCCAGCTGGCGCATTCTCCTTGTGCTTGGGCGTGGCGCGCTGTTGCTGCTTAGTGTGCCGCCTGCCACTGCTGCGCCGGCGACCGCCGTTGCCGCTCGGACGCCGTCGGCCGCTGCTCACGGGTCGCGCGCCCGCTGAGCTGGCGGGCAGCGCATCCAGCGAACGACGCTGCAGCCGATGCGGCACCTCAATGAACCCGCTGGACACCACAAAAGGCTGATCACTGAACACGGTGCCAGCCACCGTGGGCAGCGGCATATGCGGCTTCTCCAGCTGTGTCGCCGTGTGCCCAGCCGTCGCTGGCCTCGCGCTGGTTGTCGTCCGCTTGCCCAGCACAATTTGTGGCCCGGCCGTTGTGGCGGCAGACAGCTTTTGGCCTGGCCGCCGCTTGACCGTCTTCTTCTTCTTCTTCTTCTTGCGCTTGTTACGCTTGGGCCTCGGCGTGCGCTGCGGTACCGCCCCCGGTGCCGCCGTCGTCGTGGGCAACTTGAGCAGCTGACCGCTAATGCTGCCCGTCGCACCGCTAGCCACCATGATGGGCGGCGGCTTGTGCAGCAATTTGTTGTGGCCAGCCGCTGTGCTAGCATTGGCTGCTGTCGACTTCTTGGGCTTCTGCAGCCGTATGATCTGCGGCCGGGCTGTGCTCCCTGCAGCCGGCGGCCTCAGGCTGGGCGTCGATAGCACCGATTGCGCTGCGGCCGCATTCAGCGCGCACTGCTGCTCATAGCGCTGACGCAGCGCAGCCAAATCGGCGTCGTACTGCGCCTTGGTCACATAGATGTCAATGGCATCGCTGTCGCTGCCATTGCTGGGCCACGGCTGCGACTTGGTGTTGCGTCCCACCTCGCTAATGGCATAGACAATGCCCGTTGCAGGATTGGTGAAAAAAATGGGAAAATTGCTGCTGCTGCCGTTGCTGCTGCTGCTGTTGCTGCTACTGTTGCTGCTGCTGCTGTTTCGTGTTGTTGTCGCTGCTGCTAGATTATCAGTGATCTCGATGAGTCCGCTTTGCACATGCTGCTCTGGCAGTGGCTGCTTCTGCTGCTCTAAAGATGCTACCGTCTCATAGACAAACGGCTGCTGCAGGCTCTGATCATCGCTGTAAAGCTGAAAGTCTAACTCCGGCTGCTGCTGCTCCAGTGGATGCTGCTGTGGCTGCCTGTGCGCCAGAGCTGGATAGTTGTAGCGCGGCACAAAGGCTTCGCGCCGCCGCTCGTTGGCCAGCAAATCGCGCGTCCAGGTGCGCGTCTCGCGCAGCAGGCTATCAAACTCCTCGGCACTGGGATGATAGCCGAAGTCGTACGCGGCACACGACAAATCCGACAAACCCGACAGACCCGACAAACTGGCCAGCAGTAGGCGCAGCATTAGCAGCTTTACTACTATATGAAAGGCAGGCATTATATATGTGTGTCTATATATATTTTTTATATATAACTATCTCTCTCTCTTTCTCTCTCTATAAATTTGCGTTTATTAACGAGATTGCCAACGAGGCTAACGAGGCAACTGGATTAAGCTCGTCCAGAAATTCTTGGTATTAACGCGTGCGCGACCGTTTGGCTGCGAGTCTCGCTAACAAATGAATAAAACGACCCAGTCAAAGACCCAAAACCAACAAATCCACCGACCCGCCGCCAAAAGCAAACGCCTCGCAAGCGCAGGAGAAACTCAAATGCCCCCACATATAGCGAGTTTCGGCTGCTTGAAGTTTGCCCGTAACGTTTGAGTGAAGATGTCGCTTACCGGAGTGCGGAGTGCGGAGTGGGGAGTGGGGAGTGGGGAGCTACCTCCTCCGCCTGCTCTACCTCCGCCTCCTCTTCCAACGCCTTCACCTTCTCTTTTCACCTGGCCAATGTTCTGGCTGCCTTGTCGTAGATGTTGTTGTGGTTATGGCATTTAGTTGCCCTGCGTCGAATCATCGAAGCATTGCAAATTGTCGATCTAATCATAGATGAAAATTAACGATACAGCTGCACAGTGGGGCAAAATGGTGTGCAATGCAATTGGAATCCAAGAACTCATTGCTATCTTATCATTATCATTGCTATCTTATCATTATCATTATCATCATCATCATCATATCATTATCATTATCATTATCATTATCATTATCATTATCATTATCATTATCATTATCATTATCATTATCATTACCATTATCATTATCATTATCATTATCATTATCATTATCATTATCATTATCATTATCATTATCATTATCATTATCATTATCATTATCATTATCATTATCATTATCATTATCATTATCATTATCATTATCATTATCATTATCATTATCATTATCATTATCATTATCATTATCATTATCATTATCATTATCATTATCATTATCATTATCATTATCATTATCATTATCATTATTATTATCATTATCATTATCATTATTATTATCATTATCATTATCATTATCATTATCATTATCATTATCATTATCATTATCATTATCATTATCATTATCATTATCATTATCATTATCATTATCATTATCATTATTATTATAATTATCATTATCATTAGTATTAGTATTAGTATTAGTATTAGTATTAGTATTAGTATTTGTATTAGTATCTGAATTAATATTACTATTAGTATTAGCGTGGTTCGAACCACTGAGCTCACTATAGCTATACATCCGGATATTGACATGATTTACATATAATATATATCATTAGACAAGTACTTAAGGCACTCGAAAGTGATTATATTGTCAATATGTTGCCTATGTGTATAATCAGAATGTTTTCAAACAAGCTATTCATGCATAAATTGGGGCGTTAACCACTTAGAATTGGCAGTAAAATTCGGGAGGCATTAGAAGTAATTCCAGTTATCAAATTGTTTTGTTTTTAAGATTAAATACGTCTTAGGAAATTGAAGGAAAATGCCTAATGCGACACGTAAAGGGTAAGCAAATATATTCAGACAAAAGTAAAACAGCTAAGCGCAGCCAACTTAGTGTTGTGTGAGATGCTCAGCTGCAGCCAACTTAACTGGTCTTCGTCATGGAATGTTAAGGCTTTTAAAGCTATTAAAACTGAAGCGAAAAGAAAATGTGACAAAGGAAAAAACATTTGGCCAGTGCCAGTTGCCTGTCAAGCCAATTTAACTTGTGGTTAAATTTAGATACGTTGACGTCAGACCTCAGGCACTTGGCTGCGAAATTTGTGACTCAACAACAAGCGTTTGGCACCACTGTGCAAAGACTTCTTTATTATCGGCTAGCATTTTCCGCATGCTGCTTGACGTGAGTTCCACTTTTTATCGCTCATCGGAAAAACTGGACTCGACATCTGTGCAATAAAGGCTGACAGGCATTCGAAATGACAGTTTGGGGCTTACAGGATGCCATACGGAGAGACAGGTTGGACTTGTCCCAGTCCAGCGTCTGTCGTCACGTCTGTCCGCATTTAAACCAGGCAAACGAAGCGAGCCTGGCGCTGTCGCTGCTTTGTTTTAGTTTTGGTTTTTGTTTTTGTTTTTGTTTTTGTTTTTGTTTTCAAGAAGATCTCTTTCACTTTCTACATTATTCTACGGCCGCCCCTCAGCGTTGGCCTTTGACTTTCGCTCAGACAGGCGTGGCTCGATTTGGAGAATCTCGCTTAAGAAGTTGCTGTGGCGACAGCAGCAGCAACAACAACTAAAAACAACAGTAAATAATTAGTGTAACAACTATGACAATAAGCAGCAACAAGTTTTATGAACTGTAACAACTCGAGCGTCACTAAAAAAACGTTTAAGACAACGGCAATTGCGGCTCAAACGCTTAGAGCTGGGCGCGTGCTCATGCCGTGTCACGGCACGAGCTCAGCTCAGTTAACAACAAGTTTTCCCTAGATAAAGTGTAGTAAGTGGAGCTGTTAAGGTCTTGCTGATTTCAGCTTAGCTATTGTATTTCAATTAGACACGCCCACATTGGATATATATGCTTTAGATCACGCTGCCTACTCTTAAGCCGATGAAAGCATAGCTCTCACAGACTTCATTCACATGGAACGTTAATAAATATTTATGATAAAATCACAGCAAGAAGATAACAATTTTATAAAGTTCTTGATGAAAACTCTATATCTCGTGTCATGCAGCTCGTGTCACGCGCACATCACTTAAAGAGAACGAAAGCCGTAGCAGTGTGAGATGGATAGTAAGTAGATAGTAAGCATATAGTTAGCATAGCGTACCTATTTACGGCTGAGCAACAGTTAATCATAATATAATACATCGCAAGCCACATAAAAACAATAGCGAAAAGCAAAACATTTTAATTGCATGTTTTCTTTTCAGGCCCCCATGCAGATGGAGGCCAAGCATATATATATATATATATATATGTATATATGTATATATGTATATAAGAATTAGTAAGAGCAATCATAATCAAGATTATCTAAGTAAGAACGAAGTTTGCGCTCTTAAAGTTTTGTTAAGTGAGCTTTGGCATGCAAACAAAAAAAAAAAAAAAAAAAAAAAAAAAAAATATATATATATATATATATATATATATATATATATATATGTTATTCGCAAGTGAAATTGTTATTAAGCCAGTTAGCCAATTGGTATACCCTATACCTACAATATTTGTCCAAGCGACACTGTGCAGCTCTCACACTTACCAAGCGAAGCTGGCTCCGACTGCAGAATACCTGCACTTGATGGCTAAGACGACCAAATGTACTCAAAAGCCACATATTTTCGACTGTATTAAGCCATATAATTAATGGGTCTATCTTTAACTTGAATATTACAGCTCTAAGACAGTAATTACAGTAATTGATATAGTCTTCTGCCAGGTGAAATCCATTTGATTGATCTTTGTTGATAGATTTGGCTTCTAGTTGTAGGACTTGCATGATTCGACTTGCCTACGTGAGTACATATATTCTATATAAATATATATATATATATATATATATATATATATATAATATATATATATAAATTTTCTTTTTTTTTTCATTTCTTCAATTATATAAAATGTTCTCAAAACTTGCCTCACTGCATATTGCATAACTGAAAGCAGGGTATTTGTGCGTCGTTCATTTAAGCGTTTCTTTGGTATATTTCTATTTCTATTTCTTTTCTTCATGTTTTTCTATATTACGTCAATTTCACTTTTCACTTCTAGCCATGAACAGAGCTGCATATGAACTTGATACACTCTCTAATATCCCACATCCAGTGGGCGCAACCTTTATTTATTTAATATTGCACTAATAAACAAATGGATAAATATTGTAGTTCAGTGAAAAAAATAAATTGTTGAATGAAATGTAACCGAAGACCCCATTCCAGCTTTTATATCATGCTTCTCATACCCTGCCAGTTCTCGAATAGCGCAGGAAGTATCACACTACATGTGACATTCATACATGATGATATATAGGATATCAAAAGCGGAAATAGGTTTTCCTTTTTTTATTTTGGATAGTATATCCAATATATGCTCGTTCTTCTCTCTCTCTCTTCTCTCTTTTCTCTCTCTTCTCTCTCTTCTCTCTCTCTTCTCTCTCTCTTTTCTCTCTCTTCTCTCTATCTCTATCTCTCTCTCTCTTCTCTCTCTCTTCTCTCTCTCTTTTCTCTCTCTTCTCTCTCTCTCTCTCTCTCTCTCTCTCTCTCTCTCATGCTCCCTCTCTCTATCTTTCCCCTTTTCTCTTCTTTTTTCTATCTATGTCTTTCATTGTCTCTTCCCCATTTCTCTTTTTCTCTCTTCCATTCCCTCCTTCTCTCTCTCTCTCTCTTAAATGTTTTCTCTCTTTCTTTTTCTCTATTTCCCTTTCTAAATCCATCTTTCTCAGTCTCTTTCTGTCTAATTTTCTCTCATCTATATCGCTCTATCTTTCTTTTTCACAATCTGTGACGTTGTTTCTCTCTGTCCTTTCTCTCATTTTTTTCCTTCCTTCTCTTTCTCTCTCTAATTCTAAATCACACTCTATCCTCCCCTTTCCTTTACATAGAATTCGATTTCTCCTAGTTAAACTTACGCCTAGTTCTCCTATGGACGCTTCAAGGTCAACTACAGTGGTACTTCATGCGACACGTCCTCCAGCGGAACGGACTGCGCTCAAAGAAATGCGCCAATTTGTCTCCTCACTTTCAATTAAAATATGTACAAACTGTGCTTATGAAAGACGACAGTCTCAAATGCCATTGTCACAAGCAACAACACACATGGCATTGTGTGTGTGTGTGTGTGTGTGTGTGTGTGTGAGTCTGATTGTGTGTGCACCGCCAAACAGCCGGGATCTTAATTCGTCAAAAGACAGGCGGCGTTTCCATTAAAAATAAAATATATAAACGAATTGCTTCATTAAAGGGTCCATGTGTCTATTGCCGCAACGAATAGCAAATACCCTAGCAACACCATGCAGATTCGTTTCCTTATTTCGTCTATTTGTTCGTCCGTCTGGCATTTGAGATCATTTGTTGACAGCGTGAATACTTGAGCGTGTGCTTGAGGCGCTGCCAATTGCTGTTTGTTTAGCACTTCGACGAGTCTGCCAAATACCCTGTAATACGATTAAACCAATTAAAAAAGATTGCAAATTGAAGAATTATAATAACAATGATACACTCTAATCTCAAGAGTATGCCATATTCCATACTCAGATCTCAGATGAAAATCGCTTTCCATTCAAGAGCTATCTTTACATTGAGAGATCATATAGATATATAGATAGATATACACATATGTATGTATGTATATACCTTGACTGCTTTGTAGGGCAATTGCGACAACATGAACGATCTCCCCTGCCGCAGCCGATGCCCTGGCCATGTCGCCTGGCTGAGTGACAACCTGTTGGACAGGCGCTCAATTGGTCGCCCGACTGCGCAGCTGCCTAAGGCGGGGGTGCACGAAAAAGAAACAACAATGAAAAATAAAATAAGAAAATAAAAACAAACAAACCGGTTAGGCATTAGAACCGATTCCAATTTCAACTCCAATTCCGATTCCGATTCCAATGACGACGTCACAAATATTTTCATAATGAGCCACGGAAGTGCCAGATGCTGGCCATGGGTGCGAGAGAGCCAGCGCGAGAGAGTGGAACATTATGGCAGGGGGAATTTGGAAAGCGAGCGGAACGAAAGGGAGTGGAACGATGTGGGGGCAGAGAAGCGACAGCCGCCAAACACAAAGTGTCCGAAAGGCAGCGACGATGACGACGACGACGGCGACGCGGCGGCAGCAGCGACGACAGCCGCGGCAGAGGCAAAGGCAGCAACGCGCCAATCTGAGGCGGGCCGGGCCGTCAGTCTTGATGATTTCGTGAAGCGATTAACACACGCCACGTTCTGAGCCATTTAGTAAGGATCGTTAATGTGAAGGAGCAGCAGCAGCAGCAGCTCATGACACACATAAGAACGAAAGAAAGGCAGCAACAGCAACAGCAACAGCAACAAGTGCAACTGCAGCACAATAAGTGGCAAGAAGAAGCGGCAGAACAAGCTGAATGCAAGCGGCAATAAAAATAAATCATTAAAAAAACGCCGCGCCAAAAGAATTTGCCAAATTACGCGTTCATTTATTTGCCAGCGCTTCTCGTGCATTGACCGAATTTTAACCGCAGCAGCAGCAGCAGCAGCAGCAGCAGCAAACAACAAAAGCAACAACAACAAGCGAGCAACAAGCAGCGGCTGCCAAAATGGATGCAGAGGTGTGTAAAGTGTGTGCGTGAGAGTGCGTGAGTGTGCGTTAAAAGACTTTCAAAATGAGTGTCAAATAAATATACATCACACATACACACACACATACATAAATACATACGTTTATGTAAAATCAGTCAAAGCTGTGTGCGTATTCAACATTATTATTTGTTTTTTTTTTTATTTATTTGCTAAATTTTTGTTTTGTTTTTTTGTGTTAAGAGGAAAAAAACCAGTTTCATTTGCTTCTCACGCCTAACAAATGCATATTGAAGTGCAAAGTCAGCTAAAGCAACAACAGCAACAGCTGTAACAACTGCAACAGCAACAGCAACAGCAACAACAACTCGCCTGGACAGCTGTTGCACAGTAGCAGCAGAGGCGTCCTTTTAAGGGGGCGTTTGAGCTATAAATACCCAACAAAACTTACAGCTACACTGCACGAAAAAACTGTCTTATTCAAGTTTCGATTGTTATCGAGGCAAGTTCATAAGTAAGATACAGCTACTATATATATTTTCTATATAGTATATAAATTTTGTATATATAATATATATATGCAGTCAAATCAAGTCAACTAAGCACTAGACTAGGCTTTACCACACGTAAATCTTTCTAGATCTTTCTGCAAATTCTCAGCTGAAAAAGCCAACAGAAATATTACATAATTGAGCTACTCTAACTTTATATAATATATCTATCTTTATAGTAATCAACTCACCAAGACTTTGTGCTTCTTAAAAAATCTGGTTTTTATTACTCTCTCTCTCTCTCTCTCATCCCGCTCTGTTCCACTCTAATTCAAGATGCTGACGTAATATTCTAGCTATTCATAAAGAGTTTACTTAAAGTTAACTTAATCAGTTTACCACTTAGATTCCAAATCTCGCTGTAGAGCCAATCTGATTCAATTTATATAATGAATGTTTACAGTTCACAAAATTACAGATTTTCAAGATTTGCAAAATAAAGAGTTCAACTATCACTTTCGTAGAGTCCCTCAAAGTAAACTCTATCTACAACCAAGTAGTATTATGTAACTATCCTATATATGACTGTTATATAAGCACTTTTTAGATCTGTGAACTTTCCATATTAGTATCTATAGAAACTTAAGCTCCTCTCTCCTCTCCTCTCTCCTCTCCTCTCAATTTTTATTAAATGACTTCCCCAAAGAAACAATCTGATTCCATAAAGTCTGTCGACTCAAGACTTCCAATGACTCCCCTGGAGTCTAGCAACTTAAGCTCTATCTATAACCAGTTAGTCTCCATCAGAAAATGCTATATCCACAGCTCATTTAATATATATGAAAAGTCCTAGCTAAATCGTTACCATTTCCATGGCTCTTAAGGCTCAAGCAAAGTGAAAAATAATAAAAGTTAGTTTCCTTTAACAGCCTTATCAGTGAGTGAACGCGTGGCAACTTATCAGCGATGCACTGACTTCGTACGCATTTAACATGCAGCTAGGCAGGCTGTCAAAGTTCTTGTCAATTGACGCAATTGAGAGACAAACGAAACGATATATATTTTGGTTAAGTGTACGAACTTTCTTCTCTTTTTCTGGGCTCTTATGAGACATTCAATTAGTGCTCAGCGCTTCCGTTTCTTTAACAGTCGATTTATCAAAAATTATGAAGATATAGACACTATAGCTCTCGCTCCCCTCCCTCCCGTTGTACTCCATGTCCATGAACATTGCAATTGCCATTGCAGAGGCAGTCGCAGTGAAAAACTTGTCGAGCATGGAAAATTTCCACTGAAAGACCATTGAATCGACTGAATCAGACTGCCATTGCCTCTCAAATGAATAACAACTAGAATAAATAGCTATATCTGGTTGCCGAACTTTAAATATCCTACAAATTTACATCATTTTATTTGCTCAGAAAATTCTAAAGCTTGGAAACATGTCTTCTAGAAACTGAAGAGTTTTTATAGAAAAAAAATTGTTTCCATAAATTATAGAACCCTTTGATATATATATAAGCCTCAGTTAGTAGTTGTGCAAAGACTTTGCTAAGATATCGTAAGAGCTTTAAAAAGAGATGCTTAAAATATTTCTGAACATTTTGAAAAGTATAAAAGTTTTGTTTAATTTAACATGAAAACTTTCAGTCAAAGTTTTATAAAAATTTCAGAAAGTTTCGAATAAAATATGTGGAAAATTAAAACTTCTGTTTTTCAAGTTTTTTGGAAGATTTAGCCAAAAATAGTTAAGAAATTAGAAAATAATAAAAAATGTCTTAAAATTTTAAAAACCTTTAATATATATTAAAATTCTTAAAATATATTAAAATAAAATATATTTGAAAATTGTAAAAAGATTTTAGTAAAAATCAAATTGCTAAAAAATATTCCATAAAAATATTTTAAAGGAAAATTAATTTGTTGAAAATATGTAAAAAATTCCAAAAAAAAAGTCGCACATGAAACATGAATATTTAAAAAATGTTGCAGAATCTATATAAAACTGTTTAGAAAATTACAAAAAAAAAAAAATAATTTGAAAATTTTGCAAGATTTGCCCATGCAAATCATATTTTTCTCTGCTATTTACATGCATTTACAAGATATAGTTATCAGCCAGCCATACATATATATATATATATATATATATATATATATATATATATATATATATATATATATATATATATATGTATAAATCTGTTTTAGAGCGACCATGTTGATTCAGCTGTTGTAGCTGATCAAACTGATGAAAAATACCCCCCTCTGAAATCACAGACATTTAACAACTTGGCTTTGACGTATTCGTCCAATACCCTGTAGTTTTCGATATATATCAGGCCTTCGCCAACTCATACACCGTGCGTGGGTGCACTCAAAGTGCAATTTTTTTGTTGTTGCTAAACATGATAAGTATTGCTCCATGCCAGCCGACGCGTTGTTCTTCCTGTTGGTGTTAACAAATGTGGAATAACCAACAACAATAACAGCAACAGCACAACAAATAATAAAATAATACAACAGCAATTTATGCCGTTTGTTTTGAAGTGTTTTGTTGAGTAGCTGCCGATAAGCGTCAAATTCTTATTTGTTGTCTAGATTTCCACCAGCGCAGAGACCCAGTTTTAGCTATTCGTCTGATTATCTGGCATATCAGGTATACGCAGCCAGCGCTGCCAACTGTGTCACCTGTATCAGCTGTATCACCTGCATATCATACATTGTCAGCCAAAAGCAACTGCTGAACCCACTTGATTACGTATTATCGCATATTATCGGCGCCAAGATTCTGCGCCGGGGCGAGAGAGCTACGCGCGTTCCGCTTATCTGCTATAGAGAGTGACACTAATTTATAGTAATTAACTTATAATTTTTTTTTTTTTTAATTTATCAATTTATCAGTTTAGTGCCCAGGCAAAGAAGTGAAAATTTCCGTTGTTACCGCTTCCTGTTGGAAACTTTGTTAATCTTGAATGGATTTTTTTTATTATTATGGAATATTTTCGTAGCCTGGTAATCAGTTCCATTTATAAGCTTATTAGAAGCTATTCAGCTTCAACAAATGCCTTGCCATTCAGGCCAGAAAACATTGCTGGAATTTTATTCTTGATCATTTATGATCCACACTCTAAAGTCTATAGCAAAGATCAGGCTAAGCAGATTCATTTGCTTATGTTATTCGTACATATCTCGTTGAATTAAAGCGCCAAAGGCCTGAATTCCTAAATAGAAATACCTGCATGCCAGATGCAGTAAATGTTGATTAAATTTTTTAATAAATCATCTAATTTCTTTAAGATCAATCAAAATTCAAATTTCTAAGCCTAACTTGAAGACTATTACTGCTGAGTTCTATTAATAAATTCCTTTAGAGCAGACATAAATTTTCAGCAAATTCTATTATCGTATACCTTGCCCAGAAAACTCCAATTTCAAATATTCGACCCTTGATCTGAGCTATATACTAGGTCTGTTCTGTCTACCCTCAAAGTAATTGCCATCAAAAATCAGTTTTTGTTTTGCTCTTCAGCTCTTCAGATTCTCCATTTCTATATACAACAGCAACAGCAGCTCTGTGCGCACTGTTAGGGTATTTTCTAGTCGAGCATGCCCAATTGATTTTCATATATTTTCTCAAAGTCGTTTTGCAAACCAGTTGAGTTTGTTCTCGGCTAGTTTACATAGGTAATACACGTGATATATTGTATCTCATATGCATATATATACTATATATATTTAGTAAAGTCTGTAATACGAGTTAAATAATTTGCCTTGGTTTTTTTCCGAATCTCTGCTCGCTGCGAAATTAATGGAAGTTTTATGATCGTTCAGAATGCTCAATGAAATCGAATGAATTAATTTATGGCTCTCGGCATCATAAATTATAGCCAGTGCCGATTCAGTTAAGCACACCTTTCTTATCATTTACGATCCCATTCATGGGAGCCGAAAGAATCTGCCCAGTTTGCATGACATACGCAAGTGTTTGGCTTTGGCATGCTTCACTGTAACGTAGTTTTATTGCATTCATATCGCTGCATCTAGCAATCAGGTAATTCCCCCTACCTGTACTGTGATTTACAATTGCTTTAATTGGCCACGTTCACACGTTCCCCAGCGAAAACAAACTGCTATTAATGAGGCACGATCATTATTCCAATTGCAAGCAGCTATTAAAACGCCTTTCTTCCACAGCGGGACTTGACCCAGACTTAGTCAAATATACCTATAGAGAATCTATATATATATATATATATATATATATATATGAATGTTTGAATGCAGTAACTGTTTTTAGGCAAACTCTTTAATCGTCGAAATAGCTGGAGCACAATTTAGTATATTGACTAAGCCATAGGTTAGTCAATAGAGCTCTTCGAGCCTACTGAAATTAGGAAAAGAAAAAGTGACTTACTTAATAAATAGTTCATTTTTCTTGATTTGCATCAACTTTCCAGTCTATTTGCGACTTTCCTTCCTTTCTCCCATCCAACTTTCCCTTTCACTCCATCCGTACTTCCCTTCTATATGCATAAATAAATCAATCTCAGTATGTATATAAGCTAGTGGCATACATTTGAAGACACTAAGTTAGCCCTTCAGCTGACTTCTTCAAATTATCGATAACTTTTTGTTAGTTTGCACAAAATCGATAACAATTGATATCAGATTTCAGTTATTCCTTTACACATATTGCCTGTTTTTAGAACTAGAATTCAGATACATTTTTTAGAAAATAAATTTTTACAATTTAATATCTCAAAAGGCAGAAAATCTTAACACACAGATATTGACTTTGGCATATAAAAATCTTTAAAACTCCAAATATTTCATTTCAAACATCAACACAGCTATAGTTTGTGTGTGTGTGTATGTGTGTGTATGCATAGATATAAGTTAGAATTTTAGTATTCCATTTATATCTGCTAGTCGGGCATACCCGATTATATAATCTTAAAATTAAAAATATTTCATTATAATAATACCTTTTATTAAGCAATAAACAATATTTTTATTAAGTTATAAACAATATAAAATAATATAGATTAGTTCACCTTTATGACTTTTGACGTTTCAGCTAAACTTAGCCTTAGCTCATTATTAAAACTTTTTCTGTTCAACCTTTGGTAGTCTAAAAAACAAATCCAAAAGTGTTTCTGCTCCTCCTTTACCCATTGCAAACTGCATTTTAAAGCTCAGATTCTATTTTTTCAAAAAAATAAAATATACAAAGGAGCCAAGCGTCCCACAGAAATCAACAACAACTTCAACAAACCCCAACAATGCGAACTACAATGCGATGAGCTCCAATCACTCAAAGCTAACAGCGCCAGAGAGCGATGTGAGAGCAGCGCAGGCAGCCACAGCTTCAAAGCCGGAGGCTGGCAGCGATGAGGAATACCATCCGCCCACAAGGTATGGCCACAGCCAAGCTGATGGCAACCCCAACCAATCCCAAGCTAACTGATCTAACTACCACTATCTATGCACTTCCCTTACCACAAATGGGCACCAATGTTAACACCAACTAACCCAGAAAACCAACAAAACCAAACCCATCCTAACCATAGCTCTAAGGCTTAAGTAATAATCGAAGCTAATTCTATCCAGAACCAACTTTGTGTTATCGTTTATCGATTTTGCATGCTGAAAAGGTTCCATTTAGCATGTGTCTTGATTCAGCTTGCCATCATTTGTAGTAAAGCGCTAAGCCTGATACAGCTTAACTATTTCGATAGTTCTATCTGTTATCGTTTATCGTTTTTGTATAGTGAAAAATGTGTCTACGCTTCCAGCTTCTAAAAACAATAGTATTGCTTGTGAAGTGGAAGTCCCGACTAATCCTATCCCGACCAAGCCGAAACGATAATCGTGCGTACTATCGTTTATCGATTTTGCATATTTTATGAGTTGCTTTGACTAACTTTGTAGATTGAGCTAACCATAATTTTAAGTGTGTATTAAGTGCTTATGTTAACTAATCCTACGCCGATTTCTTGTGCCGATAATAACCAGTGTGATAACAAGAAACGATAGCTTATCGATTTTCGTGGTGAGAAATGTACGGTGATAACACCGCAGCTAACTGTAATTTTAAGTGTGAAGTTCAGTTCTCGACTAAACCCAAGCCTGGCTAATCCTATTCCAAGCGACTAAATCAATAATTTTGCTTGTTATCGTTTATCGATTTCCCACTTGACTCTTAAGTGTGACGTGTCAATCCCGGCTAAAACCCAATCCCGGCTAATCCTATCCTGAATGATTGAACCAGACTCAATAACCGATAACCAATTACCGATAACCGATAATCGATAACCGATCACATCGTGTGATATCCTTTATCGATTTTGCATGCCTTCATTAAAATGCAGCTATCTGGAGACAATCGTGCATCTGTTCAAGGGCAACATTGGACCAGGCCTCTTTGCCATGGGCGACGCGTTCAAGAACGGCGGCTTGATAGTGGGGCCGCTGCTCACCGTTGTGATTGCGGTAATTTGCATCCACTGCCAGCACGTGCTGATCGCCTGCTCGAAGAAGATGCGTGATCTGCGCGGCGATGCCGTCTGCGCCGACTATGCAGCGACTGTCGAGCAGTGCTTCGAGAATGGGCCGATCAAGCTGCGTGGCTGGTCGCGCACCATGGGCCGATTGGTGGACGTGTTCATCTGCGTGACCCAGCTGGGCTTCTGCTGCATCTACTTCGTGTTCATCAGCACCAATGTGAAGCAGGTGAGTTGGCAGCAGTGGGCGTTCAGTTGGCGACAGCTGATGAATTCCTGCCTTCCCGCACCCTAAGATCCTGCAAGCGTACGGCATTGACATGGATGTGCATCTGGTGATGCTGCTGGCCCTCGCGCCTGTGCTGCTCAGCTCCCTGATAACGAATCTCAAATGGCTGACGCCGGTGTCGCTGTTCGCCAATGTCTGCATGATCCTTGGACTGGCCATCACGCTGTATTATGCCCTCAAGGATGGGCTGCCGGAGGTGACGGAACGCGCCTACTGGACGAACGGCTCCCAGCTGGCGCTCTTCTTCGGCACCGCCATCTTTGCCTTCGAGGGCATTGCCCTGGTGATGCCGCTGAAGAATGCCATGCGCAAGCCCCGCCAGTTTGAGAGCACGCTGGGCGTCCTCAATGTGGGCATGTTTCTCGTCTCCGTCATGTTCATGTTCGCCGGATCCGTCGGCTACATGAAATGGGGCGAACAGGTCGGCGGCAGTCTAACACTCAATCTCGGCGATACCATGTGAGCAAGCCCAGCCCAATCAAATGGCTTCTCTTGAAGATTGGCGCGTGAGCCACGCGTGCTAACGGCATAGTCCCAACAAAGCCAAATCTAGACCAAACTAAGTCTGGAGTAAGGCTAAAGAAGCATGGACGATAATTGGTATAGATACTGAAAACTTCATTCAGTATCCACTTTAGACATTAGTCCGTTATCATTTCGATAACGCTGCGATATTCGATATGGCCAATTTATTGCGATATCCACTTAAGATGATTGCTCCTATGCGATATCTAATCGATTTCCAGCTATATAAAAAGCTCCATTTCAATGCAGAAAACTGAATTCAGCTATTGTAACCATTCGATAACTGCTTTTAACTATTCGATATCAATGTGAACGATCTATATGGGATCATATCTACTCAATATTCACTTAAGTGGTTAGGCATCATTTCTATTCGATATCTAGTGAAATGCAATATATGCTAAGTTCAATTCAATTCAAAATCGATATATTCGATATATTCGAAAATCAGTTATTTACCTCAGATAATATGATCAAAGCACAATTTCTGTCTAGGCATCAAATCTATTCAATATCGTAATATACAATATATCGAATTTGAATCTACGATAGCCATTCGATATGTGCGCTATTCGATAGCTGAAACGTTATGTTCGAAACTCAACTTGCAACGACATGCTTCAGCCTTATCTCAGTAAGATCGAAACTTGCCTCGTGTCACGCGCCCATCTTCAGGATCGCTTTTATAGCCAGCTCGCTTGAAGAGATCGCATATCATATTCATAACACGTTCTTTCACACGCTGTTAGCCTGGCCCAGTCGGTTAAATTGATGGTGTCCACGGGCGTATTGCTCGGCTATCCGCTGCAGTTCTTTGTCGCCGTGCAGATCATGTGGCCGAGCGCCAAACAGGTGTGCGGCATCGAGGGCCGCTCACTGGCCGGCGAGCTGATCTTTCGCTGTCTGCTGGTGCTTTTGACGCGTAAGTAGAGCCAGCCACTGAACGGATATGCTTAAGCCAACTCCCATCTATAATAGTGGCCATAGCGGAGCTGGTGCCGGCATTGGGGCTATTCATCTCGCTGATTGGAGCCCTGTGCTCGACGGCCTTGGCGCTGGTCTTTCCCCCGGTCATCGAGCTGATCGCGCGCAGCGAACCGAACAAGGGGCCCGGCGTTTGGATCTGCCTCAAGAATCTAATCATTTTGATCCTGGCCCTAATGGGCTTCTTCACCGGCTCCTACGAGAGCCTCAAACAGATTGTCAAGCACTTCGGCGAGGAGGAGCTCCATTAGCAACGCGACTGCGACTCAGCCCGTGCCCCACAAAGTAACAGGCTCGAATAGCCTTAACATAGATTATTAACTATATATATATCTTATGCGTATCGGTCATGCGATACCACCACTATACACATATATATCTGATACGAGTGCCACGAATGAGACGACGATATATGACAGTTACTTATGAATCATGTGCCGCGAAATAGTTTTTAGTTTCAGTTCGTCTCGTGAAGAGCAAAGTTTTTTTTTGTTTTTATTTTAGCATCTTTTTTTTACATATATTATATATAAATATTTACTTCATAAGTGTAAATAAATGATGGGTTCATAGCCCGCAAAGCAATAGATCGTTTATTATTTCTTCTTTTGGGCTGAGATGGAACTTGAAGTTGATGGGCTTTAGTCAGAGAACGGTAGATCCATTGAGTATATAGAAATGTAGAGTATATATGTATAAATATCTATATAGTGTATGCATCTATAGCTCTCTCTATCTCTCTTCTGCCTTCCTCTCTCTTTCTTTCACGTTCTCTATCCGTCTCCCACTCTCCCTAACTCCACCTCTCTCTGGCTTTGCCTCTTACTTTCGCGATCTCCCTCTCCCTCACTCACTCTACCTCTCTCACTCTCTCTCTCTCTCTCTCTCTTCTGTCTCCCTCTCTCTCTTTCCCTTTCCCTCTCCGTCTCTATCTCCCACTATCCCTCACTCTCCCTAACTCTAACTTTCTCTCTCTCTCTGCCTCTTACTCTCTCCCTCCCTCTCTCTCTCTCTCTCTCTTTCTCTCCCTCTCTCTGTTAGCTCAAAATGTACCAAAATTTGTGCATAAAACCTCTTTAGAAAGGCGTGGCAAATCACATATCTAACTTCCAAAGTTATAGAGCTAAAATCATTAAATCATCCTTGACCTGCGCCAAAGATAGAGCCAAAGTAAACTTAACTGTTTGTCAGCCCTGAACGCGTATTATGCAGTCAGTACCCCATCAGCACCCCATGACAATGTTTTTCTGCTCATTTGGAGTCGAATGAAGTTGGCTGAACTAGACTTGACCTTTGATGAATTGCAATAGAGTCGAATGAATAGCTGAATGTGAAAAAAAAATATTATCTAAATCTATTCAGATTGAATCGTTAGATAGCTACAGTTATGGCTATATAATTGTGTACTTATATATATATACATATATATATATATATTATAATATAGTTATCAGTCCAAGTATCGCCCGATTGTAAACGTGAAACGTTTCAACAATCTTTTGCTGCCGCTGATCATAAAACGTGTGACGAATTCAAAGAATTTGATATTAATCTAATCCGCATGAAACTAAATCAATCTAATCGAAACCGTTTTGCCATTGCCCAGCGCACGCCCAGCGACCTTCGAATTGGCCCAAAGCCATGTGAAGCTTGATGAATCGACAATGGAGCCAAGCGAACATCGTGTTTTATTACCCGGAACACGGGACACGACAAACATCGTAAATCTATATAAATTGAAGAATTTGCTTGAGCGTTCCATGGATTGGGTGATTGATTGATGGACAGATATGATTGACTGACTGTTTGATTAAATAATTGATTGATTGATTGATTAACTAATTGACTGATTGACAAAAAAATTGATTGACTAATTGATTGATTAACTAATTGACTGATTGAGTCATTGACTGGCTGATTGATTGATTGAACGATTGTTGGACTGATCGATTAGTAGTTTGATTGATGGATTGATAGACTGCCTAATTGATAGATTGAGTAATTGATTGACTGATTGAGTAAATGATGGCCTATAATGATTGACTGACTGTTTGATTGATTAATTGATTACTAATTTGATCTGATTGATTGTTCGATCGATGGGTGGCTTGACTGATTGATTGGTAGTTTGATTGACTAATCGATTAATCATTGAGTTACCCATCGATTGGCTGACTGATTCACTAAATGATTGAATGATTCTAATAAAAAAGCCAATACATATAAAGGTACTATATATATACAATATTTTTGAGCGATATTTCGCACGATCTGTGCGATCTTTGCCCATCCCAAAGTGAGCGAATTCTGATGCTTCCGTTGGGCATTTGGGTTGGCTGGGTTGGCTGGGTTCGCTGCCTGGCTTATATAATCCAATTGTAGAATTCCGTAAACATTGATAGATCGTTCGATTGGTTTGTTTCCACTGTTGTTGCACTGATTGTTTATCAATGCGCGCCATATATCTGTGCATGGAAGACGAAATGGTCAGAAAAGCCAACTCATGAATTCCATGCAATTCATTTAACTGGCGCTACACAGCAGCAGCAACAACAACAACAACAGACAATCAATCAATTAAATGTTGTAAATTTCCATGCGTTGCAAGTGCGCGGGGCAGCTGGGCAGGTGTATCAATCGGTGATTGCTCAATCACAAATGCAATGCGCCTTTGCAAATATGCGGCTGCCTGGCCCTCAACGGAGGCGTACGGCCAAGAATTTGGTATATTGTCATGCACATAGAATAACACATGTGTTTATAGCGGCATTGCCCGAATGGCACGTGCATAAATTGCTCATACGCCGCATTGTACGGCACATCCTTGAACCAGAGACGTGTAATTGGCATCGGTGCCAGTTTAATTAACATTTAACACAGCCCTCATTCACTTCCTTCCCGCACAGTCACTGACTTCTGATGCCCGCTCAGAGGCGGGTATATCAGACTTGCTTACTCATCTGAAGCTTGGGTGAAGCTTCCATCTGCCCATAACTTGACCCTGATACTTGATACGAATCTCATATTCCAATGCAATTGACTTCAATTTGCTTAGTCAATCATTTATTTAATTGCCCATACATAGAGTTCAATACTAACTAGCTGTAAGCTGCCTAATCTAACTTAGTAACTAACTAACTGACTTTTGGTCATGTATATCTACATATGTATGTAGATGTACACTAATGTACACTCATACATTCATACATTCATACATTCATACATTCATACCTTCATACATTCATACATTCATACATTCATACATTCATACATTCATACATTCATACATTCATACATTCATACATTCATACATTCATACATTCATACATTCATACATTCATACATTCATACATTCATACATTCATACATTCATACATTCATACATTCATACATTCATACATTCATACATTCATACATTCATACATTCATACATTCATACATTCATACATTCATACATTCATACATTCATACATTCATACATTCATACATTCATACATTCATATATTCATATATTCATATATTCATACATTCATACATTCATACATTCATACATTCATACATTCATACATTCATACATTCATACATTCATACATTCATACATTCATACATTCATACATAACATTTATGTTACACAACAAATTTTTCGTGAAAAAAAAAACAAACAAATTAAATAAAGCTGTATAAACCAAGTATTAATATAAAAAAAGCAATATGCATAATATTGTAAGTATTTTATTTAAAAAAAAAAAAAACAAAAAAATTCCAATGCGTTTTACATTTTAAACACGTTCGCGCAAAGCCTTGACTTTTTGTTCATTTTTAATCAAATATTTTTATTTATTTATACATTATAATTTTCGCGCAATATTTAGTTGTTTACACAAATTTAAAAAAATTAAATAATCTATTTTTAAATGATTATGACTGGATTCGACGTAGGCAATGGTGAAGTTTTTAAAGTGCGGAAACAAAAAGTTAAAATGAGTTATTACAAAAGTTAAATGAGTTATTTGTTTTTAATTGCTTGCAATGCTGAAAAAGTAAAATTAGCGATAAGCTAACCGATTTAAACAGCTTTTCAATGTTCGATAAAAAGCGAAAAGAAAAAATGTTTTTAAAGCAAAACCAGAACAATCAAAACTTTAAACAATTCTAAACTTGAATTTGCAAAAAAATGAGATAAAAAACAACAACAAAAATAATGCAAAAAGAAAATCCCGTGCCAATGAGCAAACAAAAATAATAACAACAATAACAACGATAACAGCACTGCCCGCTTGCGAGAGAACGTAAGCGAAGGAGAGAGAGAGAGGCAAAGGCGCAGGCCTAGGCAGGCATTCGCCCTCAAGTGCAAGGTATGAAAGCAAAAATGCCGTTAGCACACACGCGCGCACACACACAAGCACAAAAATACTGTTACATATGCAAGAGCAGCTGACGCAGTCGCAGTCGCAGTCGCAATCGTCGCCGTCGCCGTCACTGTCGCTCTGCCTGACTTTTCATACTCTGCTCTTAGCCAATTCGAATATTATGAATTGAGTCTGGTTTGAGTTCTTGGCGCGTCAACACGCTTCTAATAAAAAAAAATTAGAAAAATCGCACAGCGCGCGCGCCCATACTAAAAGTAAAATATATATCAATAATTTTTTTTTGTTTAATTTAAGCATTAAATTGATTTGTGATTTGCCATTATGATTTGTACCCATATGGGTGGCCGCTTATCTGCACTCACTGTTGCCAATTCTCGTTTCATACAACCCACAGATATTACGTTTGCAATACTTATAGAACACTCTCCTTGATTTATAGTGTCATATAGTGCTGATATCGCAGTGTTTTCAATAAATATATATATATTCTAAGTTCTCACTCAACTTCAGAAACAATTAACACCCCAATTAGAAGTTCTATGACGCGTTTAGCACTTCTATATAATTACAAATTGTTGATGTTTTTTTTTTAATTTCCAAAAAAAAGGTCAATGTTTTCTTATATAAATAAGCCAAATTATTTTATTATTTTGTTCAGATGTTTTTCTGTTGTAATTTTTTATTTATGTGTTTATTGTGTTTTTATACGCAAACTATTAATTAAAAAAATATGAATTATAATTGGTGCTTTTGTTCATATCGTGCTTATAGAAAAAAAAGTGAATTTAATACACGTGCCGATCGAAAATTAAAACAAATGTTCGCCCTGGAATGCACCACTTTTTTAAATTGAAAGCCGTGTCTAATCCGCCGGCTTTCTAGGGTTAACAGCACAGTTAGCACAGTGAGCCCCATTTGCACTCTCTTCCACATACTCGATCACTTATCCTCCAATCCAAAGAAACCGTTTACTTTTTGCTCTGCTTTGAACTTTCGCATTTTTCCAATTCTTTTTTGCACTCGCCTTTGTGTTTCAAATTGTGTCGCTCGAGACGAATCTCAACAGTTGAAAAAAATTAAATATTCACAATTATTTAGTTAAATTGGCTAAACTAAGTTACATTTTGCAGCAGCGAGAGTGTAGCGCCGAAAAGGTCATCGAAACAGGCGACATGGGCAGAACATTGGAAATAACTAAGCCAGAGCTGCAGCAGCAGCAGCAACAACCGACAGGTAAGAACCCAGAAAAGGTGGACGTGGAGAGCACTGTGAAGCGGCGTCATGCCACAAGCAATTTGGAAGCAGCGACACATCTGTTCAAGGGCAGCGTAGGCGCCGGCCTCTTTGCCATGGGCGATTGTTTTAAAAATGGCGGTCTAATCGGCTCCACTTTGATGCTGCCTGTGATTGCGATCATGTGCGTCCATTGCGAACGGCTGCTCATACGCGGCTCCCTGCTGGCCGTTGCCCAAACGCCAGGCGCCACCTTTTACGATTATCCGGAGACGGTCGAGAAGTGCTTCGAATATGGGCCGCGGCCGCTGCGCTGCATGTCGCGTGCCATGAAGCTCATTGTCGAGATGTTTCTCTGTGTGACGCAGTTCGGCTTCTGTGCCATCTACTTTGTCTTCATTACGGAGAATCTCTATCAGGTGAGCGCGAAATGGTTCACATTTCATTTAGTTTACTATATATCAGTTTAATTCCTAATCAAATCAAAATAACGCACTATTTCGTGCACTTTACCAACACTGCTCTGTGCCAAGCCCTTAGACACCTTGCAACACTAACACTTTTAAATACATTTCAGGTGATGCAACAGAATGGCATAGACATCAGCATGAGCTTGGTAATGCTGATCACTCTGCTGCCCGCGATGATACCATCGTTGATGACAAACCTAAAATATATTTCACCAGTATCGCTGCTGGCCAATTGTGCGCTGCTCTTTGGGTTGATTGCCACGCTGTCGATCGCCTTCTCCGAGGGCCCGATGCCATCGATAAAGGAGCGAAATTATTTTACAGGCGGCAGCCAACTGGCCCTTTTCTTTGGCACCGCACTCTTCTCATACGAGGGCATCGCACTGATCCTGCCGCTGCGCAATTCGATGCGTGAGCCGGAAAAGTTCAGTAGTCGCTTCGGTGTCCTCAATGTAACGATGCTTTTCATCACATCGATATTCATCTTTACGGGCTTCGTCAGCTATATGCGCTGGGGCGAAGATGTTGCTGGCAGCATAACGCTCAATCTGGACGTGGAGGATGTGTATGTATTTAGCAGACATGGTTCACTCCAAGCATATCTAATGTATATCATATTTGAATTGCCTTTTGTCAGCATGTCGCAAGTTGTCAAAATGGTTGCCGCTTTGGGTGTCTTCTTTGGCTACCCCATACAGTTTTTCGTCATGATGAAGATTCTGTGGCCGCCCGTAAAGCGGAACAATAGCTGCGCTCAAAAATATCCGATCACAATGCAGGTGGCACTGCGTTTCATCATGATAATGATGACCTGTAAGTGGACAACGAAATGAGTATTAATATTTATGTATTTATTTTTGGCTTTTGTTTTCTAGTTTGTGTCGCCCTGGTTGTGCCTCAATTGAACCTATTTATCTCACTAATCGGTGCATTATGCTCAACATCACTGGCATTTGTCATACCAATCATAATTGACTTTGTTACACGCACCCAGGTACCGAAAGGCCTTGGCACCTGGATCTATTTGAAGAATATCGTCATTCTGACCATCGCAATATTGGGAATTGTCACTGGCACCTATCAGAGCGTCGTTGAGATTATTAGAGAGTTTAAATAGTTCGGCTCAATTTATGGCCAAAAGCTTGCCAAATAGTTTGTAAATATTCTGTAACCGTGTGAATACCTTATAATGTTTAAATGTCCTCGTAGTTTTAAGTCTAATGTCTATGTAATTTTTTTTCATATAACTTTTTTTTGTTATTAATTTTAAGATATGCCTGCCGTGCTTATTTCGTATGTGGCCCGATTATTTAATAGTCAACTGTTAATAAGCTTTCAGTTAAACGAAACAACTAGATAAAAAAACAAAAAATATATTTTAATAAATGATCGTAAATTGTCTGTTAAAAGCTTACTTTAAATTGGCGCACTATGTAAAGTTGTTGGGCGCTAAGCAGCACTGTCGTAGTAAGCGACAGGGCTGCAACGCCTTAACAGCCTTTAAAATGATGTCATTTTAATTTGCACAATCTATTTATATTGCTACCAAATATAACGTATTGCAGCTTTGCTTAATTGGATATGGTGAAATGAAACAGCTAGAAAATAAAACAAAAAATATATATATTTTAATGTATGAATACACATTGTCTTTTACATGATTGTTTAAAATTGGCGCCCTCTTAGTAACGAACGGTGGTCGTTTACCAACACTGTCGCAGCATGCAGCAAGGCTGCAACAACATTCTAACAGTCTTCAAATTGATTTAACAGTCGATTTTCGAAATATTCTTATTATGCGGGACCCGAAAGGCTTTTCTCCATGAACTTCCTGCGCGCGAAGCACATCCACCATTTGTTTGGCTTACCATCTGTGGTATCGAAGACCTTCTCAAGCAGCCGATAGCCGGTCTCCTGGCGCAACTGCAGCAAATACTCACGCATGAGATCGGCATTGTCCGGCTTGGTATAGACCGAGTTTAACGGGAAACCCGCATCGCCAGGTAAAGCAAAGCTCGAAATGGCCAAGGCATAAAGATCCTGTTGGCCCTGATCCTTGCTCGTGCAGCGCACCAACTTTTTCAGGCACTCGGTTATGTAGAGAGTTATGTAGATAAGTACGCGATCCACCTCTGACTGCAATTATAAAAATATGAATAAATATTATTTAATTTTCTATGTAGACGCAGCCCTACCTTGACCTCGTATGTGCGGAAGAAAACGTTTGCTTTGAAATAATAAAGTGACTCATCGATAATGTCGTTATCAGCATTCACGCTGGGCGCTGGCCCCCGTACTTTGGTGCGAAGAGGCAAGATTGCCATGTTTCCCACCTGCCTATGGAACTCTTCGATTTCCGAGTGGTAAGCCTATTACATTATTAATAACGTTTATTATTTAAGTAAACGAAACATAGACATAAAATAAAATAACATCCATAATTACTCATCGATTATTATAATATTTTGTCATGCGATAAGTTTCACTACTACAACTTACTGGCATTTTGAAATGATTGCGATCAACTGAATTCCAACACTTAAAAACAACTAAATTCAGTTTTCTGTTTATCAATAGCAGTTCTTTTTATGCGGGAAATACTTCAGCCCTGATTATATCGAAGAATGGTTATCGAAGTTTTAAAGTTTAACGTAGATGTGCTAAAAATGTTAAATTGCATTACGTTGTGTTATAAACATTCTGTTAAATGTAGTTAACATTGTGTGGAGTAAATAATAAACATTGCATATGTGTGATTTTCATGTTATGCACGCACGGTCACACAGTTCGCACGTTTTGTACTAAAAACAAATGAAGCAAAAGTCAAAATCAAAATCCAAATCGTTGCCCATTGAAGTGGAAAGCAATGAGGAGATGGCAGTGGACACGAGCGAGCTAACTGACGGCAAATCTGAAGAGATTGTGGAACCAGTTACCCCTGCACCCAACACAGAAGACGATGAGGACGACGACGACGAAATGGATTTGGCCAATTTCAATGCCGGCGCTAAACCAACCGCCAAAACGAAGAAACGCAAGAAGGGAATCATTTATGTGTCAAATATACCAAAGCATATGAATGTGACACGTCTCCGTGAAATACTTGGTGAATTCGGCAAGATCGGGCGTGTATATTTGCAGCCGGAAAAGAAACCAGGTGAGTGACAACTCGTGCACACTTTCCCAATATAATATATGTAAGTATTGTTTTTTGTTTAGGTGGCGATAAGGCGAAAAAGAACAAGCGTAAGAAATACAACATTCATTTCACTGAAGGTTGGGTGGAGTTTGAGTCAAAACGTGTGGCCAAGCAGATTGTTCCGCTACTAAACAACAAGCAAATCTCGTCTCGGAAAAAGTCGCAGTTCTTCGACTCGCTGTGGAGCATGAAATATTTGCCTCGTTTTAAGTGGGTGCACCTGACCGAACGGATGAACTACGAGCAGGCCGTCCATAAGCAACGTCTGCAGACGGAGGTTTCGCAGGCTCGCAAGGAGACGACCTTCTTCCAGAACAATCTGGACAAAAGCGAGCATATCAAGAAGTTAGCAAAGAAAGCAAAAAAGTCGGCTAAGGTCCCTGAGGGGAAGGTGTAGTAACAGAACTTTTAAGAAAACATTTTTTTTTATTATAAATAAATATAAGTTGGCGCTAAGTGCGCTTGTAATTTACATGTAAAAGTGCTCTTAACGCGTTTGATTAACTCACTTTTGCGTTTGTCCCTCATTTGGCGCATGCGTTTTGTTACCTTAACGTTAAATAAGCCGTAATTGTTTAAAAAGTTTCCTGCCATTAAAGCCAAATATGTCTTACAAATTATTATATAAAAATACTTTTATATTAAAAAGACATTTTTATTAGGCCGTTAAAAAAAAAACACATCTATTTAGTTCTAATTGGAAATACATTTTTTGGCGCAAAAATTGAAAATGCAAAAATTCCAATTGCTCTTTATGCGTTTGGTCTACTGATATTTGCGTTTAAGTTACTCATTTTGCACATACTTTCTGTTAGTTTTACGTTACAAGAGCCATGTTTGTTTACTAAGTTCTCTATTAAATAAATAATATAGCCAAATAGTACATAAAAATATTTTATTCAAATATACCTCTATATTTACCAAAAATAGTCTGTTTTATCGATTTGTTCGGTGTACATATAATTGTTATCATTTACTCTCTCTCACTTTTAAACTGTTAACCAACTGTTGCGTTCTCAGTTGCTCTGTTAACTTAACATTCGTCTTTTTGGATTCAGTCGTACACAACTCATTGAGCGGACAGGCAACGACGGCGTCTGCGTGCGTTAACAATTATTATTTTTTTACCATTTGTTTTTGTTGTGCATTGAAGCCTTGTTTTGATTTAAACGAGACAAAAAAGTTTTGAATTAAGTGTCCGTAAATGTGATTTACGTGCGTTGTAATTGATCAATTCAAGTCGATGTTATTGTTGTTATTGCGGTTTTAAAACGCCAAAAGTAAAGTAAACTCGTTTACCAACACAGACGGTGTGTTTGTATTTGTTTGCATTTGCCTTTGCTCTTGCTTTTGCTTGTGTGATGTTGCGCGCGGCATTCAGATGCAAATTTCATGCACCACACACAACAAAATTAATGGGGAAAATTGAATTAAAGAACTAAATTATATTCAATGCATTCCTTTTTGCCGCGCTACATAATAACAACCACAACAAAAACAACAGCAGCAACCACCACAAGAGCCAAACGACGACGCCAACGCTGGCAAACACAACAACCACTACAGTTAATAAACTGTAGCAACAGTTGAGGCGGCAAAAGATATATAAAATAACAACGTAAAAGGTAAGCAACATACACGTACATGTGCATGCAAGTTCACTTCCAAAGCACACTTACACATATATATTTACATGCGTCAGCTTCCAAGCTGCGCTTATAGTGGCCGACCAATAAGATTTGCGCCCACTACAATAATCATAACGGTATCGAAAGCTGCGTCGCTGCCTGCCTGCAGACCGCGTCGGCTATCCAAATGCCCAACGCCCTTGACAGCTGCGCGACTGCGACGTCAGCAGAAACTCAATAGTGAAATGCAGCATGAGAAAATAAAAGAAAAGGCAAAGGCATCCCAATCAAATGGAATTTAGCCGGTTTCCACAAAAGCAGACAAACTGCCAGACGACGACGGCGACGTCAGCGGCGGCGGCGGCATACAATTCTCAAGTGAGAGCGTCTCGCTGCAGGAGTTATTGCAGACGCCGGCAGAGACGACGAGTCGCAAGTTTTTTTTTTTTTGGTTTTGTTATTATTTGGGTTGGGCTTCTGCTTACGATGGCACTTTCGCAGCTCAAGAAAGTTCCAGTTAGCGGTTGTCCTCTCTAACAGTTCAAATTCGATACGAACAGAATCCACATGCATTCCACAGGCCATAAAAACAAGAAACACACACACTAATGGAAGTATCTCCCATTAAATTATGTAAATTTAAAAAAAATTGGCGGCTTGAGCAAAAAAAAGATTTCAATTTGAATAAAAAGCAAAAGATAAAAACAACAATAATGACACATATATACATACATAGATATATGTACATCTACATAAAAGATACATATTTTATTATTTGCTTGAGAACTTGTTCTTTTGTTCGACATTTTGTGGCTTTTTTCACCTTTATTTTTTATATATTTTTCTCTTTATATCTTTCGAAATTCCGAGCAGTGTAAAAAGTGTCTCAAACGTGCTTTTTTAAAGCTTTCAGATACCGAAAGGGCAATGTTTGTTGATATCACTTTGGCCGGTTGCATATACCCTGTGTTTGTTACACATTTACAGTTATTCAGTTGCTTTCATAAGTACTGCGCGTGTTATACCTGTACGTATACCAGCATATACCCTATAATATTGTAAGAAACTTATGACAGCTACAACTTGATTTATTAATGGTCTTGCTTTTCGTTGTTTGGCCTCACTCTGTGACCACGCCTCGTTTGACTACTCTTGCTGGGCGGGTATTATGAGTTGCCAATGTAATATGCTAAGAAGTAAAGCTAGGACTGAGTTAGATTAGTTCGAGCTCAATAGTCAAAAGTTAAAGAATTGTTAATTATTTCTTGAGCTACAGAACTCCTCTATTGGCGACTTGAGATTTCTTCTCTCCCAATTCTGTGTTCTTCCGAACAAAGATATATATATATATATATACCAAATATATTAGCTCATTTGCGTAAGACCGACTCTTATATAGGTGATGTATCGTATAGATAATATATATATAATATACTATAGATATACATTATATACAGATGGTAAAGAATGCATAGCACAGTATATGATATATAGATCGAAATCTAGGCAACAATATCTTCAGATATATCCAAAGACTATAACCAACTCAGTAAGAGCTTTTACATCACACTAATGTATCTTTAGGTATATACATTTCCGAATAGAGTATTTCTAAATTGGGTTTTCGAACTGTTTTCGTCGCTTCCCTTTCCGCAGATGTTTGTGAATCATAGCCAAATGTATTTAATTAGCATTTTTGAGCTGCTATTATATGATTTTCGATTGCGTAAAGGTACACGATGCGGCCAGGTAGCATAAGCATTAAGACTGTGTGCCACACAGTGGCTGTCATAATTATGCCGCCAGCGACACTTGCGACCAAAAATATTTATGAGCGCAACAAAATTTAGTGTAGCGCCACAATTAAATTGTCAACAGCAACAGATGCAGTTGCAGATGCAGATGCATGTGCAGCAGCAGCAGCAGCAACATCATCAGCATGAGCAACATTATCATCATTGTCATTGTCATCCGTTTGCCATTAGGCAGCTCGTATAAACATCAACGATGCAAGACATAGACCAAAAAATATTGGCAAAAACAAAAAAACACATGTCTCTGACAGCCAGCCAAATGCAATGGGCCAAAATGGGAACCCAGCGCCAAACACACACAGACATATATATATATATATATATATATATATACAGTGACACCAATTGTGTCGCCCTTGCCAATTTTGTATCTTTCCTAACAAGCGACAAGCTCTGAAATTACCGTAATGCTAATAGACTCATTTTACAACACTGGCAGCCTAACGGTTCTTCATAGGCTTACCAACTGTGAGCAGTAATACCTTATAGATAACTAGAAACTTTCCTAATAATTTAACTAGAATTAAATATAATAGCAAGTTGTGTGGAGCACTGCTCGACTAGCAGATACCCTGGACTCAGCATAGATTATTTGTTAATATATTTACATACAGAAAATGAACATGATTTGGAAGTATCTATACGATACCACATTTATTTTTATTTAGCTAAAGATCGATCATGTTCTCTATCGTTTTCTTGGAAATAAGTCCATATAAGACTTAAAGGCTTTAGCTTTCATATTTCTTATACATAGACGTAAGACAGAACATATAGGACTGTTGATCCTGATGGATAATATACATATGCTTTTAGCTATACTTTATATACAGACCATATATAGCAACTCCTGCTTGTAACAAAAACAGGGTATACGAAATGTAGACTTTAAAGCACAATTGGACATCCATTCTACCTTTCTAAACTCTACTGCTGGAAACGTACTATTATAGATCCCAGTTATGAGAGAACTATAAATAAACATATAATTTGTGAAACGGGAACTTCAACCAACTGCATAAACAAGATTTGAATTTATGAAAATCGCATAGAAAGGGCGTCAGTTACAATGAAACGATTCAGTTTAATTTTCAAATGAAGCGCTTAACTCTGGGTCTCGTTCATCTTTTCAGTATATGTATATATGTATGTATGTATATGTAGTTTTTCTTATATCCCTTTTGCTGGCATTCACAATTGGATGCCACGAAGTGCTCATGTTGCATGCAGCGCGTTTAACGCGAACTGTGACTTGTGCCTCAGAATTGGCTCAGCAGACGTCAACGCCAGCAGTTTTTATTGTTAACTGATTCAGCGAATGCGCACACGAATACGAATTCAAATCTGAATCCTCAGCGAAGATGCAAGAGATTGTGCCACATCAAATTACACTCAGGTCGTACCACTGTGCCGTGCCGACTGAGCGATACTCTGCACGCATTCGCGGGCAGCGGTTGTGCCGTCTCGCAACTCAACTCTAACTCTACGGCTTCATATGCTCTAATATATAAGTTCGATTTAGGGTATATCCAGTTTTACGCGCAAATTGAACTGAGCCAGCTGCTACGGTATGGGCACATATGCCCCTTTCACTGTTGCCAAACAGGGCATAAGAACCGTCTTCTTGCGAAATTTGAAACTTCTTTAGAATCGCAACGTTCTCTTTTATATGCCCTATCCACTTTACCTACAGGGTATAAACACAATGAGATGTCTGTAAAGAACTTTTGCATGGCTGCATACATACATACACACATATTTGCAAATGCAAATATGAGCTGAGCTGAGCTGAGCTTTATAAGTGTCGCTACTTAAAGTGCAGTTAGAAAGCGAAGCTTTTTGGTAAACGCAGCTGCCAATTGGCAGGTCGCGCAGCGTTGCCAACTAAATTCAAATGAAATTCCTGTAACGTTCTCGTTTCACATGTGTGAGCCTATGTGTGTGTGTGTGTGTGTGTGTGTGTGTGGCTGCAACTGTGTCTGCCTATATGAGTTTTATTTCTCTTTTCTTTTTTATTTTTTATGTGTTTTTCCATTTCACACTTCTTTTTATGCGATGCACGTTTTGTGTGTTTGTGTTGTTGTTGTTGCAGCTGTGCGCATTTCTGCCTGCCGGCTGCATAGTTTTTCCATTGAGGGGAAAACTTTTCGACAACAGCAGCAGCAACAGCACATTGCCAATATATTGTGTTGAAGGCGGCCATAACGGTTTCAATGCGTTCATTGGCACCAACTACAAAAACAACAACAACAAACAGCAAAGCACCAGCACCGAAGGCCTTGGACATTTGCATCCGAGCAAACGCTCAAACCGAACGCACTTTGTCAACCGCCCGTCACACTGATCTTTAATGGTGCATCGCGACGTGTGAGTGCGTGATGCATGACACACAAACACCTACACACACATACACACACACACACATTCATATGTATGTGAGTTGAGTTTTCTTGTTCAAGTTGATGAATAAATTTAGTGGTCCAAAAAGTATGACTATGAGCTTGTTAACTGCTTTAGTTGTTTATGTATAATTAAATATATGCATATACATTTATATATATATTGTTTAATAAACAAATTACATTTTAAATTTTATGCACTTCCAACTATCTGACTCAATATACACAAACTACATAGTAAACATTTTGATCGATTAAGTCGCTCATCAAACGAACCAGTTCCTGCTCTTTTAAAATATGGCAACACCTTTCCAAGCTGCTCCCATTCCAAATGACCTAAATTGAAAAAAGAAGATATAAATATGGCTGTTTGCCACGCCCTAAACGCACATTCATAAAATTTAGGCATTCATATTTAATATAATTATGCACATACATACATATATACAGCTAACAGCCAAATAGGGCGCATCCGTTTTCCGGTTGCTGTTGTCATCGTCATTTGCAAAATAACAGCAAAGCAGCAACAAAGACAAAATAACAACGGCCCTTATTCATGTATGGAAAGGCCAAGTTGTTATGGAACGGATGAGTTCAAGAACCTCACGCATCACCCGTGTGGGGGTTGTTCGAATTCGGTATGTGTTGCTGGAATGGCAGGCGTAGCCTTCGTTTGTCTTGTCTTTTAATTAAAAACGCAGTCGCAGACGCAGTCGATGCCAATTGAATCAATAGACTTCACTTAACATTTACAATTGAATTGTCTTTTTCTGCGCACCTACGC